AAGGAAATCTAGTAAGCTTCCTTTTGACATAAATTCAGTGACAATGTAAATTGGCTCTTCGGAAACAACAGCATATAGTGGAACAAGTTTATCATGTCTTAATTTTTTCATTATCTGAGCTTCTTGAAGAAAAGCTTCTGGCATCATTGTACCTGGTTTTAGTGTTTTGATTGCTACTTTTGTGGTTCCATTCCATGTTCCTAAAGAAACAACACATTTTATGAATTTATATTTTAAAGGATTTTAGACCAAACTTCAGTAAACTGCAGTTATCTTGAATATTGAAACATATTTTATCATAAATTGTGGCACTTTAATCCATAGCTAAACAATGACAGAAAACAAAAATTCAGGCTTCTTACCCATCCACACTTCGCCAAAACATCCTTGTCCTAGTTTAACCTCTAGTCGCAAAGATTCTCGAGGGATTTCCCAAGCATCTTTTGCTAGACCTTGAGTCTGAGGTTTCACAGTTGGACATACAGTGGTTAACTTGTGGCATAAACCATCAGCATGTTCTGTGTAGTGTTTTACCAATTTCTGCAGAGTATCAAATTGTGCTCTGGTTGTGATATAGTAGCCACCATTGTCAAGTTTCCTAATTTTGTAGTGCTTCACATTGTCACCCCTTACCTCATCCCAATCACGAATAGAGAGGGAATAAGCACCTGGGTGGAAAATAAATATTTTCATTATCTCTTTCTCAAAATACTGTCCCAAGAAATTTTATACTTACACTAGTATAACAATATTCATACCTTTAGTAGTTTCACTCTCTCTTACTAAGAAAATACCTCGTTGATTTCCAGGATTCAGGAGTAATCTTTCAGCATCTTTTCTCCCCATTTTGCCAAAATACCATTCTTCTGCCTGAATGGAATCTGCAGGCGCTACATAATTGCTTGGGATATAACCATTCTTTCCTGTAGCGATTGATCTTGCTTCCCACCAGTCTCCTTCCGTATTGTTAATTATTTGAAATCTTTCACCCTTCTTAAATGAAAGGTCTTCTGTAGTTCTAGCTTCATGATCATATAAGGCCACAAATATAGTAACACCACCTGTTAAACCAGCAGGATACGAACTTGGCACCACTGAGAATGAGGAAGATGTGCCTCCAAAAGGTGTTACCCCTGAGGATCCCCCAAATGGTGTCATGGAAAGACTGCTGAAATTAACTGCTGTTCCCTTTGCTGAAGATGACGGACACGGTGACGCTGCGGTGGGTTCTGCTCCATAATGGCTTGCACTTGTACTGACAGGCTCTGAAGTATTTTCAGGTCTATATTTAATGGCTGGACTTTTGTTTTCTTTACTTTTAATGCAGCCCATTATCAAATCTGTTTTATGGTCGCGCTCTCCTGAGTCGCTGCTACCGCAGCTCGGGGTGGCGGGCGGGGGCGGCGGGCGGAGGCGAGGCCCGCGGGCCCTCTCCCTCGTCCACCTCCTCGTCCCGGGGCGTACGGCGGCAGCAACCTTACTGCATATTTTTGTTGGCTGAGGGGATTTAATGGTCCTTTAAAATCTCTGTTTAGATAGGAGTTGAAGGTATTGGGTTCATATGTATCTATGGGGTTAGTGTATCTATATTTATCCAGGTTGGTTTTACATTGCTCACAATTAGCTACATAGCCTTTTAAATTTGATGTATTGTCACCTTTTGATTTCTGTCTTAACAGCCACTTGAACAGCGAGTGTGTGCTTATGTAATTATATGAGTGTTTGTGGAGTGTAATCTGCTTCCAGTGTCTGATTAATTTTAAAGTAATCTTTCTGTTTTATTATCATTATTGGGGGCACTTGGGGTATCTCCCAATCATTGTCTGATTTTCTTCTGAATTGTAGAGGTGGTAATGAATGTCTTCATGAGTCGTCTGGATTTCTTTGTAGCTTTCATTTGGATATGTTTTGTGTGTCATTTGTTAGGTTCCTTGTTAATACATCTAACTATCTATTAAATTTGTGGCCTTTGAATGATCTTTTTGTTTTTTGTTTTTCAAGATAGGATCCTTCTCTGTCACCCAGGCTGGAGTGCAGTGGCGTGATCTTGGCTCACTGCAGCCTCAACCTCCTAGGCTCAAACAATTCTCCTGCCTCAGCCCTCCAGGCAGCTAGGACTACAAGTGTGTGCCACCACGTATGGCTAATTTTTTTTCTTATCTTTTGTAGAGATGGAGGTCTTGCTATGTTGCCCAGGCTGGTCTCCAACTCCTGTTCTCAAGCAATCTTCTCACTTCGGCCTCCTAAAGTGTTGAGATTATAGGCATAAGCCACTGTGCCTGGCCTAAATTATCTTTTTGGTATGCTGATATGTATCATAAATATCTTAATTCTGTTTGATAATTTTTAAGTTCCTCTCAGTAAGATTTGGACCATATATCATTGGTCCAAATGCATTTAAGAATTAATTAAAATGTCATTAATTTAAAAATTATTTTGTTTCTATATGTGTGATTATGGGGCTATGTTACTGTGACTGCTCATGAATTTGTAAATACACATGCACACACACATATATTCCTTTGATTTTCTGAGACCGAGTGTCTGACTGCTCTAACAACTGCAATCAGTTCTGCGTAAATACACTTATTTGACTCCTTCAGGATATATGGTCTTGGAGTGTGAGTACTACTGCTGTTCAGTGGGTCTGGCCTTTGGGATCATGGAGGCTGATCCTTCTGCAAGCCTGGTGTGTGGCAAGACATTAAACCAGATCAGGCCCCATTTTCCTATATTGTCGCAGGTTTTTCTTGTCTTCAGAATAAATTCTGGCAAGTCCGTTTTAGTCTTGTGAACCTGCTCCATGAGAAGATACTGGTTGACCCTCAAAGCCTCAAAACAGATACACCTGGATGTATCTGTTCCATGTGAGCAGCTTTCGATCAATTTGGATACTTGTCAGTTTTTCAGGATTCAATTTTATCCAGTGAAGAAAAGGCATGTGACATGTTATTGTAATGTTGTTGCCAGTCAGATGCTTAGTGTTTTTTAGGGCTTCATGTGTAAGCCATATGTATTTATGAATGGGCTGTATTTGTTGTTAGAGTATGGGCATTTTGTTATTTGAAATCCCACCAGCAAGAAATATTTAGAATCTAATTTCTATGTCCATAATGATCATGTTCTATATTCATTACTCATCAGAACTTTCAACCCAAGTTGTTAATCTGAAGATGGGTAATGCAATATTTGAAATATGCTAATGTAGTTTTTGAGTGTTTCAAGTTCTTGTCCCTATGTGTAGTCTTGGGATTTTCTAGATATATTATATATTGGTTCCAAGATGATGTTTAAGTAAGGTGTATGCCGTTTCCAGTATCCAGATAAACCTGTTAGTCTTTGTGCTTCCTGTTTGTTTTTTGGCAGCTTAAGGGCTTTTTATTTTATCTATTCCTGTGGTTGAGATTTTTCTCCCTTCTGATGACCATTGTACTCCTAAAAATTTGCAGTTGGTGTCTGGTCTTGTGATTTTGTCTATATTAATAGCGTATCCCCAAAATCTTAAATGTGTTATTAATTGGGATTTTTCCTGTTTAATTTGTTCCTGGTCATTATTTACCATTTTGATGTTATCTATGTATAATATTATTAGTGACTTGTAGTCTGATGTGTCCCCCACCAGGTTACTTAAGGGTGTGTGTCTGCTGCCTGAACCCTGAAGGCTAAGGAGTGAGCCAAAGCCATGGTGCCCAGCCTAGGAGCAGGTGTCCATGATAACCCAAACATCCCGGGAAATGTCTGAGAATCTTCCACGAAAAACAGTCTCATTTCTTAAATGCAGTAGGCAAAGAGCCAGAAAATTAGCTTAAAAGCAGTTTAGAAATGAGAGGTGGTGTGGATCTCCAGAGCTATCCTACCAGGAGTCCCTGTATGTAAGTCCTAATAAATTTGTTTACTCCTCAAGCTAGACTTGTCCAAGTCATTCTTTGGTCCCTTGGTTTATTTCTAGTTTGGGGGATGCACATCACAGTCCCAAGTTTTCTTGTTATACATGTATATTCTGATTGGTCTATGCATGATTATAAAATGGAGTGAACTATTACTGAACTATTTAGATATCCCTGTGGTAATCTTTTGAATTGGTATTGTTTACCTTCCCATGTAAAGTTGGTATATTCCTGGCTTTCTTTATTTATTGGTGTGGCAAAGAACATGTCTGACATGTCTATGATTGTAAAGTATTTGTCATTATGATTAATAATCTCGTCTATGAGCTCTTCTACATCTGGTAATGCTCTTGACATTTTAGTTGATACTTTATTTAAATTTCTATAGTCAATAATGAATCTATAGCTCCTGTTTGTTTTTAAGACAGGCCATACCGAACTATTAAAATTATTTGAAATGACAATTATAATAACATCTTTCCTGAGGAGTTCTAGAATCTTGGCTGTTATTTTTTTATGTCCATTGTTTAATGAGCCCTGTTTGGTGCATGTAGCATGCTGTGGTGTAGGCAGTGTTATGGACTTCATTTTAATTTGTACTAGGTTAGAAAATTTTAGTTCCTTTAGTTTCTTAATAGGCCGCTATAGGTTAAAAAGATTTGGAATACGATTCATTCCTGTAATGTCTTATAATTTGGGCAAGGAGTCAAATGTGCAAAGTATAGCTTTAGAGTCATAGAGCAGTACAGAAGTAGAGGCAAGAAAGCTTCAAGATTATTTCCTCTGAGTCCTTCTGTATGAATGTTTATGTCAGAAGGTGGTGCATTATATTTTAGAAGGCTTACTTGTGATCCAGAGTCTTTAAAAAATGGAATGTATGTGTATATTTGTAATTTTATAACTAAATGTTCATATGGTCTGTTATCCCCAGGTTTGAGTGTTTTAGCCTGTACCTGGGGGGCGAGTTTCTCGTTTTTAAAGATTATTAGTATTATTTGAGATGGAGTTTCACTCTTGTTGCCCAGGCTGGAGTGCAGTGACGTGATGTCAGCTCACTGCAACCTCCACCTCCCTTGTTCAAGTGATTCTCCTGCCTCAGCCTCCCAAGTAGCTGAGATTACAGGCATGTGTCACCATGCCTTGCTAATTTTGTATTTTTAATAGAGACACGGTTTCACCATGTTTGTCAGGCTGGTCTCAAACTCTAGACCTCAGATGATCCACTCACCTTGGCCTCCCAAAGTGTTAGGTTTATAGGCATGAGCCACCACGCCTGGTAGAATTTCTTTTTTTTATGGTAAAATTTCTCTGTGGTTATTGTTGCTATTTTTGAAATTATGTGTTTGGTGGATGGCCCTATTGCCACTTCTTTGTGACCTTGATTGCAAATTATTTTGTTTAGGTTACTGCTCATTTTATCTGGGTTGCCAATTCGCCTTGATTTATTTTGCCAAGTTGCCCTCAGTCTCTTTTAGTCTTTATTAATTTTTTAAGTCCCAAGGACCTCAATACAATGTATATTGATTTTGGATGAATTTTCAGACTTGTATATTTAATATAAAGGTTATATGTGCCTTCTTGAGTTTATCTATTGGTGTTTTTAAGTTTGCCATAAATATTATCTTATAGGTTACTGAAAATTCGGCAAAAAGTTGGAATATTTCTAGGTAAATCTTGCATAGTTCTACATGCTGACAGAGAATTCATGTAGGAGACCTTAAGGTTAGGTGATAATCCCAGGAGAAGTGCTCTCTTTATTTCATTTGTAACTGAGATTTCAAATGGAGTGGCATATCAGTTGTATCTATCATACAGCATTCCTAAAATGGCAAATTTCTTTGTATTATTTCTGCCTGTGGTAAATTATTCCATTTGAGTCTGTCCCCAAATTTTATTGGGTCTAAATATGGGTGGACAGGTCTCCAGACTAATGTGATCCAGTTCCAGGGGGTAGAACACTCTTGGGTGATTTGTTGTTACTTTATAGTTTATAATTTAGTGATGGGTTTTCTGTTAGTGTAGTAATCTCATGCATTTCTGTGCCTGATAGCGCCATGGTGTTGCTTTGTTATTCCACAGATGGAAGAGTCAGTCTGCAGCTGTGGTCTGTCTTTGGCAAAAATCTGCTCTTAGTTTCTACATTTTGCTGTGGTGTAGCCTCTGTTTTCACGGATATCCTGAGGTCTGCCATTTTCATAGTTGTCATCTGTAACTCTTGTTTAGTGATTGTAGGTCTTGCCTCCATGCCCCCTCCCCAGGGGTCATGATTTCCTGGGTTCTCTGGATGGGGGTTCTTTCATCCCCAGGTGTCCCTCTTTAAAAGTTGCTTCTAATGGCCGGGTGCGGTGGCTCACGCCTGTAATCCCAGCACTTTGGGAGGCCGAGGCGGGTGGATCACGAGGTCAAGAGATCGAGACCATCCTGGTCAACATGGTGAAACCCCGTCTCTACTAAAAACTACAAAAAAATTAGCTGGGCATGGTGGCGCGTGCCTGTAATCCCAGTTACTCAGGAGGCTGAGGCAGGAGAATTGCCTGAACCCAGGAGACGGAGGTTGCGGTGAGCCGAGATCGCGCCATTGCACTCCAGCCTGGGTAACAAGAGCGAA